GCAACAGATGGTAATGAATGGAGATCCTCTACAGGGAGGAATCAAACCATCAATCTATTGGCTTGACAGTCTACCAGTAGATGCATCTCACTTAGAGAATGTAACAAATACTACCGAATTGTTAAGCCCAGAGAAAAAAATCTCTTTCAATCAAGAGGAGCCTTTGATGATAGGAGCCCTGGTGTCACAGTGGTTAGAATGCAGTATTGCAGGCGAACAGCCCACAGCCTGGAGTTCCATCCTGACAGGGCTTGAGGTTGACTCAGCCTTCCACCCTTCTTAGGTTGGTAAAATGGGGACCCAGATTGTTGGGGAAAATATGCCTGACATTGCAGAGAGTACTGTAAAGCACTATGGAGTTGTATATAAGTCTAAGTGCTGTTGCTATCAGTGCATATGGGAACAAATATATAAACAAATTTACTTTATACACTGCAAGACACTATGAAGCACTGGGCAAGAAAGTGAAGCAACTTTAGGAACTTTCAAAACTGGTGTGGAGGGTTTTCAAGCCCTATGGAGAAAGGAGAAGACAGCCAGGAAACAATGCAATAATAAGGACTAAATAGAAAAATTGGTGATTGCAAAGATCTTCTATTTTCTGTACCCGTCTCTCTGAATTCTTACCTCATCTGATAGCTCTCTGAGCCAAAGGTGTGTTGGAAGAAATGTCCATCTGGGCTCAGTTCCAAGTGGGAAGAAAGACACTGGAAACATGAAGACTGCTTGGAAGGATGGCTTAATGGTGAACAGGACCACATGGATTTGAAGTCTGGGTAGCTGAACATATGGAGTGGAGAGTGAGATATATTTATACCCTCTTGGGCCTTGCAAAAAATGTATCCTATTGGTTGTCGGACTCCCAGGGGCTATGCAGGGTTCCAGCTAACCCTGTAGGCTGTCTGTGTCCCAGGCTTGGTTGAATCTTGCTGGGTGATGAAATGGGCAATTTCCTATTGTGACTGAATAGCTTTGCCTTGAAGGATAATCCCATCATCCTGGAGCTGAGGTCTTTTGTTTTGTAGATAAGGTGGGGTTACCTTGTAGATAAAATATCTGCTGGGGGCAGGGAACTGGGGTCTTTTGTTTGTTTCCTTTAATATTTTTATTTCTCTTTTAGGGGAAATATTCTGCTTTTTAAAAATTTCCTAGAATATTTCATTCTTCTAGGAGAGGGATGGGTGCTAACTTTCTACAGGTGTAATACACTTGCAAAAAAGAAAAAGAAAAGCAAACCCCAGTACATTCTTGCATAGTATCAGAAATAAAGGAAGTTATTAACTCTTGCTATACTTCACTGGTCAGATCACACCTTGAGCATTGTATACAGTTCTAGGTACTGCATTTTAGGAAGGCCATTGGCAAACTAGAGCAGGGGTCCCTAAACTTGGCAGTTTTAAGACTTGTGGACTTCCAACTCCCAGAATTGCTGGCTGGAGAATTCTGGAAGTTGAAGTCCACAAGTCTTAAAGCTGCCAAGTTTAAGACCTCTGAACTAGAGTATAGTCACAAGAGAGTAACCATCAAGTTAATAAGGAAAAAGCTTGAAAGAAAATCTTATGAGGAGAAGTTAGAGCCACTGAGTTTATCATACAGAAGACAGGGAAAATTGCTCAGGTTTGTTCTAGAAGACAGGACAAGAATCAATGGTTTTAAACTACAAAGTAGTAGATTTTGGTTGCTCATTAGGAAAAAATTGTTGAGAACCATTCAACATTCTTATGTTTTAATTAACATGTAGACACAGCCTTTGCCTTGAGAGGTAATGGATTCTTCTTTGGATGCTAACTTCTTGAACCTGAATGTTGTAGTAGAATCCTATAATGGATAAAAAGTTGGACAAGATAATCTCCAGTGGTGGGTTGCCCCCGGTTCAGACTGGCTCGCATCCACCTGCTGCCTGGATGTTGTCATAGGCGATATGCGCATGTGTGGAAGCTTGGCGCATGCAGAAGCTTCGTTCACGCGCGTGCGATCCCGTTGCGAACCAGTAGTAAAGGTAAGTAGAACCCACCCCTGATGATCTCCAAAGTCCTTTTAAGTACTTAGATTCTATTATTTCTTGTTGTAGTCTACTGAATTTACAAAGCCTGATCTGTTTACAAGAGGAAGGATGACATTTTCAATCTGTTCTCCAACTTCCTTTCTTTCTTCTTTTCCCTTCTTCTTTATTTCAGCAAAGCATACAATGCCTCCCAGGCACTCCTAATAGAGAAATGCCAAAACATGAAATGGATACAGAGCTGGGTGAAAACCCAATGAACGTATATCAATGGTTTCACATTAAGCTGGAAGGAATTGAAATTCCTCAGATATAGAGCCAGGCTTGTCTCTTGAAAACCCAGCCCTCTAATGCTTGAACTGCTTAATTCTCACATTAAATGCAGACTCCTAGCCTTGAGAAAATACAGAATTTATTTTTATCTTCATTCAGAACCCAGAAAGCTGAGGAATAGTGGAGACAGCTACCCACTAGAAGGTCTTTCAGAACCTAGATAATCTGCATTAGGATTTATTTTCTCCTATGTATTTTCTGTTGGGAAATAGTTTTAATACAAATAATAGCACCCACATTTTTTTTTATTAATGGTGACATTTCTGAAATAGTAATGGAATCTGGTCGGTTAACTTTATTTGATTTGTAGGGCCACCAATCTCAATATTTGATTTTGGGCAGCAAACAATCAAAGTAAATTAAAAATAAATGAATACATAATTTAAAATACCTAGCCGAGGAAAGTGTGTTAGCACAACCAGGAGATGAGACTTTTCAAAGGCTTGGGCCCCCAGGTCTTTAAGGCCTTATAAAACCCTAGCAAATCAGGATCATCCTAATCTCCAAGGGGGGAAATATTCTAAGGAGTGGGTGCCTTGGCAGAAAAGGCACTTCTTTTTACATTATTTATTTCATTAATTGTTATTAAATTCAAAGGTGAATATTACTTTGAAATGCTTTCTTGATATTGTAAACGATATAAGTTCTAAAAGTACATATAGTCCTTACTTACCAACCACAGTTGGGACTGGCAATGTCATTGCTAAACAATGCAGTCATAAAGTGATCATGTAACCGCACTGACTTACAATATCAATTTTGGCTGCAGTCATTAAGTCACCCATGATTGTTAAGTGTAATACATGTGACTGTGCCTGCAACTTCCTGCCAGGTTCCCCATTGACTTTACTGTGCTTGTCGGAAGCTGGCTGTGAAGTTGCAAATATGATCACGACCCCAGGATACTGTGTCGTAAATGCACACTGGTTGCCAAATTCCAAATCCCAATTATGATCACATGATGGTGGATATGGTAGAATAGACTACAGATTCATTGACCAGTTATAAATCTTTCTTAGTGCTGTTGTGACTTCAAATAGTCATGGAACAAGTGATCAGTAAATGAAGACTACCTCTGATGAAAATTGTGACATATTAATATTACAAATCAAATTGCTATGTCTGGCTTAGTCAGTTTTTCTAGTGTATTGATTTTTAATTTGAATTGAATAATCATTACGACAGGTACAGTAAACTAAATGGGTCAAGTTCCTTTTCTTGAAATGGCAATTTTTACCTTTCACTCCAATATAAGTAATTGAACAAAAGAAGGTATGGATAAATGTGGCAATACCAGGGATATGAAAATAGAAGACAAAGAATTGGAGAAGTTTACAAGTATCAAGATCTGAAAAGCAAAATGGAAAGATCATGGCATAAATTGGCCATAGTGACCCCCTGTGGTTATCCACACACCGGCTGCCATTCCAAAAAATCTTGGATGGCACTTAGAAAAACTGCACTGACAAATTTTTCACCTGTCAGTTACAAATATGGATCCGCACATATACTATAGCAATACATTTTGACATGCAAGGATCTTGGGAAGAACTCGATGTGTATGAAGGCCCACGTCAGTTGAAGAACTGGCAGTTGTGATAATAATAATGTGTGAATCTTGTATGTCCCCCCCAAGTTTCAATGATTCTGAGTTTATAATAAACAAACAAAATAATTAAAATGTAAAGTCAACATTCTGGCAGATGAGGGCTTTTTCTCCTCCCTCTACCAAAAACTGTTCTCTTCTCCTTCCTCTCAAAGTAAACATTTTCTAGATCGTTCCTGACATCTCAAAGTGTGGAGTTCCAAATAAGTGAATCCTAGTGTTGTGATGATAGTGCCCTATGCAAATTAAGTCATGGACAAATCTTCAAAAGATGGCATGCAAAATTGAATAGCTTCCCCCAAAATATTAGTTGTTCAGTTTAAATTAAGGCTCAATCACCTTATCAAGCATGTTCTCACAATATTAAAAACTCAACTTTGGAAATAGAAAAAAAATGAACAAAATTTCGTAAGAGTTGATATAACAACACTGAATAGTCTTGCAAAACCTGGCTATCTCTTGAGATTTAAAAAAACATATAGAATAGTGGGTGCCATCTAGTGGTGACACAGGCCCTGGTGCTGTGGGCACCAATTTGCCAACTTCCACCATCTAGATGACTGCGCAACAAAGAAAAACACTCTGCTACTAAATACACAAGAGCATTAATTTTACCTCCAAATTGTTCTTTTTCCAGAAAGAGAGTTACAATTCTTTACCATCTTGAATCAAAATGTATTTCAAATCAGAATAAAGGTAACATCTTATACAACCTGGGAATGGACATTGCAATATAAGCTAATTACAATTCATGTCTCATTTTAGGTCTCCTCAACTACCATGATTGTTCTTTAACTAATTTGATCTCTTGATGGGTGACGTGGGTAGTCTGCTTTATCAGGTTATTTAAGCAGATCTTCTTCTGTCTCCTCAGTATTAACTCCGGTTTTTTAAGAATATTAAAATTTAAGTCCATTTTTCCCCAAATATGGCGTGCAGACCAACTACTCTGCTGCAATTTCTTCACAATCACAGATCAAGGCTGCTTCAAGTCCCACCTCCCTGCGTGTATCAATATTGTAATGATTTGCAAAAATACAGTTCACTGAAACATACAAGTAAGACTACAAGTAGCAACATTTATTTATATACATATCAAACTTCCTAAGCACCCAACTCCCTCATAGGGGGCTCTGGGTGGTGTACAATTTAATTGGTATAATAAAACATTAAAAACCATATAATTTAAGGTTTAAAAAATTAAAAAATGTAAAAGATTATAAAATTACAAAAGATGGAATTCCAAGATGGAGAGACTAAGAGTTGTTAATATAGGCAGGGGTTCTCATAAGGCCGACCAGCCCGTGGCTGTGTGGGCCTGTATTTCCCCCCCACCCCAAGACTACACAGCCTTGACCCTTCGTGAAAGGCCAAGAGATTGAGGGCTTTCCTCACCCCAGAGGGCAAGATGACCCACAAAGCAGGGGCAGCAGCAAAACAGGTCCTCTTCCTTGATCCCGTCAAATAATTTTTGAAGAAAAATTCTTTGATTGACAGGGTCTGTAGCATGCCTTCCCTAACTGAATGAGCGGAACAGGCTGATGTGATGAGACAAAGCGGGTTTTGTAGGTAGCCAGGCCCTATACCATATATGAATAATAAATTGTAAAACATTCTTGTGTACATTTCTTATTCTGGAAGATAATCCTACCCAATTGGACTCCATTGATTTCAACTGAGTGGGGAAACATATTCATGGTGAAAGCATAAGCAGTGTCCAAGTTTAGAAAACTCAGCCGTTTAAAACTACTACAGCTTTTTGAAAAGTCAACTCATACAAGCAAGAATAGTGTTGTTGCACTATAGAAACCAATTATAGCATACATTTTTGTGTACAATGAAATAGGTTCTAGTCCACACAACAGTTATCACATTCAACTGCCTTTAAATTTCAACCACTCTTTTTTGTGTTCTTCTACAACACACACACACAGTCATCTCTAGAAGTGTTAAAAATGGAACTTTTCATTTCTTTACTTTTTGTTTTGTTTTCAAGGTACGTTGATGAACTTTTGTTTGCTGATTGACAGAGGAAATCACTTTCATAGAAGTCTTCTTACTCAAAGCTTTTTCTACAGCTCCTGGTTTCCATAGCAACAACTCTGCATCCTCTCCTCCTGTAAATAGAGAATCATCAACCATATCCCAGTAGAAGGAACGAACGATAGCAGAGTGTCCTCCTTGAAGTATTCCCACAGAATTCAGTTCATGAGCACAACACTCTATGAGACAAATGCTTCCTGTTGACATCCCTCCAAATACAAACAATTTGCCCACTTTTTCATGATAAACACCACCAATTAAGTAATCCAGTTTGATATTTTCTACTTCTCTGACATCTGGAATATGCAATAATGTAGTTGACATTTCAGAATCCAGCTGAGTAAGATCCCAATAACAAAATCCTTCATCATGTGTCATGCAGTAAATCTGCCAATAATCTTTTCCAGCCCATCCAATAGACCTTACAGAAGAATCAGAGTTACAAGTGGTAACCAGAGCATTTTCTTCATTGTCTTTGTTAATATCAAACACATTTACCAATCCATCAGTTGAGCCTGAAGCAAGCAAATGTGGTTTGTTGGGATGAAAACATACTTTAGTTACATCATCGTTATGAGATTCTGAATAGACACCTAGTGACCGTTTGCTGGAAGGGACACTATTTGTGCAGCCTCTCGCATCCCAGAATGTTACAAATGCATCTTCTTCCACTTTTTCTGTGCCAGCACATACTACGAGGTCATTGCAGCTTATATCACAGCTAATGAAAATATCTGAAGGATTGCCACAAAACAAATGTACAGGCTTCACAGCAGATGAACGAATATCCCAACACTTCAACGATCCATCACTGCCAGCTGAAAATAATATATTTTCATTTGTATGTGCAAATCTGACACCACTTAGCAATGCAGGATGGCTATTATATTCTTGTAGCAAGCACAATGTCTCCCTGTTGTAAACGCTGATTGATTTATTGGAGCAGGAAACAGCCACTAAATGGCTCCCTTCTGCTCTTGAAATATCTATGTCCAATAAGTAAGATGGGTCTTCGGTTAGTGAACACCGTTTTGCTATTTGAAGCCTAGAAAACTGTTCCTTGATCTTCTCCATGGCAACTGGTATTACAGCTGCATCCAGGAAAGTAAAGGTCTGCAATAAATAAAGACACCAAAATAAATCAACTTTACATTGTTAATCACTTCTATAATATTCTTCGGCATAGAGAAAAGATTGGCACCTCTAACCTCATTTATCTTTCCTTTAATACTTTATACATGAATAGACAATTTCTCTAAATCTGAGAGCCATTCATTACTGAGTGCATAAAGATTCAGAGAACTATCAGCGTTCCATAAAAGTTTGGCATTATAAAGCATGGCATGGCATGGTCTTCCACATCCCAGCACCAGTCAGATATGCTACCCATCTGAATAGCACTGGGTTATAAACGACTATCATAACAAACAGATAGATTGTCAACTCTGAAGCTGGTCTGACTGGGGTCAGATATTGATATATATGCATATACACGTGTGTGGTAGTGATTACGATGCTCAACAAGGGGAGAGTGGGGAAATTCAGATTGTAGTCCTCCCTGAGACAGAAAAGCTGCCTTTATGACTTTGGCCAAATATTCTCTCAGCCCTAGACGGAGAAGCTGAATAATAAATTCTATCTTCCAGAGCAGACCAGTGTGGTATATTCTGATCCAAATCTATACATACTACAATGTGGCTAATATTAATTACCCCACAAAAATGGCAATAAAAATGGGAATAGTCAAATTTGTAACACTTCCCATCTATCCAATGAATGAAATCTTTATCACAGCCTCAATTAAATTGGGTGGAACTTTTAGAAACCAAGTAAAATATCTTCAAAATCAGATATGGCCCATGGACTTTAAATTGCCAAGCCACTGGTTATTTAAGATATTTGTAGCTCAACTTTTGCAAAGCAACTCAATTGAAATAAAGAACAAGTATATTTAAAATTGTAAAACTGAACTGAATACAATCAGTATTAGCCGTCATATGTCGTATCATTGTCCACTGACAGGGAGATGAAAAAATACAGTTTTGACCAGGCCCTGAGAACTCAAGAAAAAAATATGAGAAACCTTCCATCAACACTGCACAATCACAGGAAAAACTGACGACCTTACTAATTATCAATGTATGTTTTACTTTTCCCCCTTGACACATATAGAATTCCATTCACACTGTAGAAAACCTGCAGGAATGCCAAACAACTTCTTCCTCCATTACTTAACACTTCTACTCTTTTACATTTTCAGCTATAAGACAGACATGTACTTTAATCAGGCATGAGGTTTCTCAATGTCTGCGTGACATTGAGCCTGATTTTTCTGTCAGAGGGGGGGGGACTTTTAATCTTGAGACCACTGCATCATCCCAAGTCCATCAAGGCAAATCACCCTGGCACAGAAAGATGCCATCCACCCCCTTCTCAACACCACCAGCAGGCAGGAAAACCATCTGCTATTCTATTGCCCTATGATGGGCAATGATTTTGACAGATGACTAAGTCTTTACAGTTAGCTATCCATCAGGATTCACTCCCCATTCATTTTCTATCTCTCCCAGCCAGAAATCAGCTGCCTAGGGCTAGCTAGGCTAAGAGAATTGGTGGGCAAAAGGCACAAGAGGGTTTTTTACCCCCTAGGTCTCGGAGCCAATTTCCAGCTTAGTGATCTGAGTCAGCTTGAATCGGTGGCAGCCCAAACAATGACTGATAAGATAGGAGGACAAGCACAGATCGATCTCTTCAGCTTCACAAGATGATTGCATCTTACCTACAAATTGTTGCTCAGGTCGCTTCGGAACACAGGTTAGTGCTCTTCTACAAGAGTTGTAAAGCAGCCAAAATAGCAACTGAGGGTGTGCTCTGTGACGCAGCTTCACGATACAACCTCGGCACCACCATAAGTACAGCTGGTCACTGCTGTGATATTATAGGAGTAGGGGGAATTTGGCTTGAAAGAACTGAACTGCTGCTAAAAGCAGATTGGCCTTAGGGAACAGTGCTCAGAGACTAGAGGAAAGGGGAATGCCCATAGAGGCCTAATCTTGCCAATAAATGACAGATAGGTCCTTGCTACCTACTGACAGTTGGTCAATGAAAGTTAGTATCCCCAGCAAAACTGGGGATCAGAGCTCATTACCTGCTTCCAGGAGAAAACACTACTTGAACATTGTTACTGCTAATCATTGTAAGCCAGTGTTTATTAAACTGTGGTCTAAGGAACCCTGGGTGTGGGTGTGTCCAAAGCCCTTTTCAGGGGTCCATGAAATCAAACAACTTTGCCAGATATTGAAGACATTTGCAAACATTTGAAACAACAGTACTCTTCTCATTGCTATTTTGTATTTGTTAAAAAATATACAGGTTTTTCATGAAAAACATTTTTGTTAATATCTAATAGGTTTAATGTTTTTACAGGAGTCAATAAATAAATATACCACAAGTGCATCAATTTTAATTCTTAATACAGTAAATATGGGTTAAATATAATCCACACAAACAAAAGCTCTTTTGGGATCATCCATAATTTTTAAAAGATCTACTGGGCAATTTGGCAAAACCACATGACTGTCTGCCACCTGGTCAAGAATAAGCTTGGCCTGGATGGAAATAGCTAAATAGACGGCACACCAGGATAGGAAGATCAAAGGGCAATCTCAAGAAAATGGAGCTTCCCTACAGAGGACACTTTATGTGAATGTGGAGAACAACAATCCATCTCACATATACTATGGTGCATAGGATGACTTTCGACTTGCACAGAGGAAGACCTCATGCTGGCAAGAGAAAATGCTGTCAGTGTGGCCAAAAATAGTTAGTTTACTTGCTCAGTGTTGAACACTGTATGCCTGTAATTTGAAGGTGCTTCAGATACAGATAAAGATCGGTTCAGATAAAATAAAGGTAACCTTAGAAGGGCAAATGAAAGAGGTTGTTGGAGCACGTGCAGACCATGCTTAAGAGAAATTGGGAAACATCCACACACAGCTGGGGTGCGAGCCATCAATTTATTGATTTTTAACACAAAGCTAAGATTTGTTCTTCACTGTAATCAAACAAAGAGCTTGAGAAATACTCTCATGTCAGAATCCAGTGGGCCCTGAATTATTCAAATACAGATCTATACCCTCCAAAAATCTAATCTGTTTGTAATAAAAAAAAATTAATCTGCATACATGTGTCTTTATACACATGAAGATGACACACAAAGTGGCCTAATCCTTCTCAAAATATATGCAACCTTGTGAAACATGATTCAAGCCAACTCAGTATTTCAACATTGTTACTGAGACCCTTTATTGACAATTCAATTGGATTATTTATTTTTTTGCTTTGGAAGTAGAAAGGAAAATGATGCAAATGTTTGAAGCTGCTCTGTTATTAACATGAGCAATTCAATAGGTAGCCTCTACAGCAATTATGTATTTGAATTAGATTGTCCTGCTCACTCACTGTTCACTTTGCTTGAATTTTCTTTTTGAAGCATATGTGCTCAGCCTAACTAGAACACAATTTCCAGAAATAAACACAAAAACAGAAGGAAAAGCTATCTCCAAATTACAGATTACCCCGATCAATGGCTTTAACTTTAAGTAAAGTTTGGTCTATTAGTTAAGGCACCAAGCTAGAAACCAGGAGACTGAGTTCTAATCCCACGTTAGGCATGAAAGCCAGATGGGTGACTTTAAACCAATCACTCTCTCAGCCCAACGGACCAAAAAGAGTTGTGGTTGTGGGAAATAGGAGGAGGAAGGAATATTAGGAACCTTCGCTACCTGAATTACTTATAAATAATAAAAATGGAATTTAAAAAAATCTAATAAAGTCCCATCATAAGGATGTCCACAAAGTTAGTTTTCTATATCCGAATAATTCTGTACAGCACAATTACAAGGGATTGGGACTTTTTTTTTTAGAAGCAATTCTACTGAACATTCTCCTGAAAATCCCTCTAGCCACACTGACCATGAAGGCTAAACTGACCTCAGCCTAACCATCTTAAATCTGCATCAGGCAAAAGCATCACAAAACATTGCCCAGCTCCTAAATCCTGTTCAATAATCCTGGGTGCTGCAAAAGTGCTGCTGCTTCTGTTATCCTTCAAAAGGAACAGATGCACACACCCCAAAACCATGCACTCCCTTACAAATTTAACATTTGCTGTACAAGGCATTTTTGGTAAACTTTAATAAGACAGTTAAGAACCCACATTAGGTAATTTAATTTCCTTCATGGGCTACATTTTGCTTTGAACTATAAAGCGGTTTATAGGAAAATAACCCAAACCAAGCATTTTGAAACCCTTTCATTTCGAAACCAAAGAGTGATTTGCTCTTTAGATGGCTCAAACCAGTATCACCAAAGCATAATTCTCAATGTATTTTCCCCTTCGTAAGTTGTATGGAGCACAAGTCATCATTTCTTCCCTAGAATTCCAGCATGCAGGACCTGGTTCCTTACCTCCCACCCCTTTAGCTTGCCAGAGAGACAATTCCAAAACCAGGGTTGATCAGAAAGAAAAACACTGAAGAAGTTTTAGACAGAAAAAATGAACAAGAGGGAAAGAGGGAAATTGTCCCAGTAAAGCCTTCTCTGTAACTGTCCCACTCCAAACAATTGGAGCAATTGCAGGTTTGTTCTTAGTTGCCAAATGATTTCTACCCATTCTAGGACGGGATTTAACACATTTTCCTCCTTAGGAATCTGAGGGGGTTGCCCCCAAGGAACACCAATATGCCATCCAAGTAAATGGGGCACACATTTCTGTTGTTGTTGTTTGTTTGTTTTTCAACAGAACTTCCTAGGTCAAAGTGTGAAATGAATACAGGTAGTCCTCGATTTACAACAGTTCATTTAGTGACCATTCAAAGTTACAATGGCACTGAAAAAAGTGGCTTCTGACCGTTTCTCACAGTTACAATCTTGGCAGCATCCCCATGACCATGTGATCAAAACTCAGATGCGTGGCAACTGGTTCATACTTATGACCGCTGAGGTGTCCCTGTCAGGCCTGGAAGCCACCTTTTGCATTGGATTGAGGAACTTCAGGCCTCGGAGTCTTCTTTCGTTGGGGGTGTTACTTGGAACCCTAACAGTCCCAAGGTCATGTGATCACCTTTTGCAACCTGCAAACCTTTGCTCGCAACTGAGAAACAAAGTCAATGGGAAAGCTAGATTCACATAACAACCAGGTCAGTAGCTTATCAACTGCAGTGATTCGCGTAACAACTATGGCAAGAAAGGTTGTAAAATAAGGCAAAATTCAACAAATGTCTCACTTAACAACAGAAATTTTGGGCTCAATTGTGGTCATAATTCGAGGACTACCTGTACTATCTAGGCTACTTGGGAGAAACCAAATATTGGGCAGGGTGACACACTCAAACCACTTACCATAGCTTTCCTGTAGTATTCAATACTGTAGTATTCAAGTATTCTGTACTATAATTCCAGGCCTGCCTACATATTGGCTGCTGTGGCTGGGATTGATGGAACTGTACTCTAAAACACCCGAAAAGCTCAAAGTGAAAAAGCAGAGGATGCAAGCTACATGACAGCTGAGTAATGAAAGTCTGGGGTTTGACTCTCAATAGTTTTAAGCAAGGAGCTCTCTTCGCCTCAGCCCCCATAACTGCAATATGATTAATCATACGTTTTAAGGTGTTCAATGAAGCACATTGTAATTTTTGGTAAAAAAAAAAAGAAAAAAAAGATCAATTAGTGCATAACGTATAATTCACTTGAATGTAATGGGGGGAGGGGTTTAACAGAGAAATGTACTTTTTAAATATCAGCACTAACTGAGAGACACTTTTTATTATAAGATATATTTACTAGATCAACAAAGTGCTTGTTTGAAATTAAAGGAATAATATTGTTCAAATTAAACTTGCTGCCTGCCTCAAAACGAATTGGACTCCAGTACTCACAATTTAAACCAAAATACTGAACAATACTGTATGTTCATTCCTATTGACAGTCTTCTACAATGAAGCAGTGGGTGGCTGAAATTCATTGCTCCATTTTGAAATCGCCGAACTGCCCAGAGGAAAAGAATAGAGGACATATCCTGGAGAGCCAGCGCCATCAGCAGTGAGCTTCCCCAAAATAGTGAATGCTTTTATGTTCCCAAACAAATTGTTCAAGCTCTGGGCAAGACAATCTCATATTAAATTCATTTGTTGGAAATGTTATTGTGACTTGTAAGACTTCAAAATACAATTTGAACAGGGAAATCTACCTTCAGTTTTAATTCAAGGAGGAAAAGTGAGCTTTCAACAGCCAGAAGCCTGAAGAACCTTGTCCTTCCAAGAAGCTTTGGGTTACCTGAAAATAAATTTGGAACTTTCCCAGACTGCTCTTGTATTAGGTAAAAAAAAATCATTTCTATGCTTTCTAGAGCAATATTTACACTTTGAGGGTACCGCCTTTTATAGGAAAATCCAACATCCCAAACAATGGAGGAATAGCCAGTAATGCTACATTTTTTATCAGCCGTAACATTTCACTGAATCTTGTTTTGGACATGTGGAAAAATGTCAACTGGGGAAATCAAAATTGTCTGTCCCTTTAGGAATGAAATCTTAAGGTTAAACAAGCAATCTAGTTAAAAATAAATCTCTGGGGTAGCCAGCAACTCTTGTTCTTCTTAAAAGGAAGTTGCTGCTACACTATGATGGGAGAATCTGAAAAGGGACCTAACATTGGTGGGAAACATAGCAAATCGTGATTCTCCATGCATAGGAGGACATTATGAGTTAGGACACTTCCTACTAGCAGAAATTAACAATGCAGATATGAAGCCTCTATAAACTTGAGATATTTTCTTATTTCATAAAATGATGATCTTAGAATGTCAGTCTCAAGGAAAAAAATGCAAACTTTTTGATTTAGCACAAAAAGTCAATGTAATATAGAGTACTTGTTATCGATATGCCTTTTCCTCCAGTGATGTAAAAAATACATAATAAAGCAAACTACAGCATAATAAGATTCATGTACCGATAGGGTTTTTTTTTTCTTTGCTGGATTATGTTCTTTGGAAACATTCCTGTGTTCCAGATTAATTCAGCTCTTCATCTAACCTCATGCTACATAATTAGTGCAGAGAGCCAGTGGCAAAGAGAGGCATATTTACCTTCCATTCCAAGTTACAGCTCCAAGGACTTTGCAAGCTCTCTGTCTTCTTCCATTCTTAGTTCATTCATTCATAGTGGCCAACTGGATGCCTCTGGGCTGTTCAAGGCAGGAGTGGCTGGTCCCCTGCAACTAGAATTTGGAGCTATACCACCTCCCACAGGTAACACTGGATCTTGAAAATTGATAGTCCTGACAGGTCTGTCTTCCATGAAATTCTCCTAATCCCTTTTAAAGTCAATCTCATGGCTATCTCCATATGTTGTGGCTCTAGATAACCAAACACAACTTTCACAACAGAAACTTTCATAAACTCATATGGTTTACAAACCACTACCGTGTTTCCCCCAAAATAAGACCCTGTCTTATATTTTTTTGAACCCTGAAATAAGCGCTTGGCCTTATTTTCGAGGAGGTCTTATTATTTTGGGGCTTGTGGAGCAAGATGGGGCTCCTCTTGCCGTCTTATCTGATTTCCAGATCTGCATTTAAATATTTTCGGGGAGGGCTTATTTTTGGGGGGAGGCTTATTTTAGCACATGTGCTCAAAAGCCTGATTGGGCTTATTATCAGGGGATGTCTTATTTTCAGGGAAACAGGGTACAAAGATATCTAAAGAAACATGGACTGGGAGGATTCACATGCAATATAAAACCATGGTTGAAAAATGAAAATGAGAAATTTGCTGTAGAAAGAGATTTCCAATGCACGGAAGATGGCATCTGGCATTTAGCCGGTTCTCAAAAGTTACACAAAATGACAAGAATGATCCATAATGAATTCCAATATCCAATTGTCATTTGAAAAACAGAAAAGGACTGTGTTGTTTAGGAACATATTAAAAATACTAAAGGACTGAGAAACCATCTCCAAGAGGTCTGAAAAACTTGCCCAAGTGATTTTTAATGATAGTGGAATATCAAACATTGTAATGTTCGATGTTTGACACACTGGATATAAGCACCATTTCTTAAGCTAAAAAGAGACCTATGAGTCATTTAATCCTACAAGGTTTTCAAAAATAGACTAGTGATTCATAAATTACATTCTTCCTCCTCCACTTAAAGAGAATACTTTGGCAATGATGTGATTTTACAATGGTTTCCACATCCCTGAGAGCAATGCCAGTGGTCCATATAACCATCAAAGAGCAACCCCCACAAAAAAGCAGATAGTTTTGTATTTATACCAAGGTTTATTAATGTCTGCCAAGAACGGGCACAAGTTCACACAACGCATTTGACTGATTCTCTGTTACCGATTCTCTCAGTTACTAACATCTTTCCTTTTCACTTCATTCTGAATGTTTGCAATAGTTTCTTTCATGCTGCCCTTATTACAACTTTCTCTTCCTTTCTGAGTCTTTGTCCTGGCTTTCCAGCATCTTTGAGCTTCAGTGTCAATTTGCTGTCTTTAAATATAACCTACTAGCCTACTATATCCAAAAATGGCACTGAAACTCAAGAAACTGCCTGCCTTATATCTCAGTCAGGGTGGATTTGATTTAAATCGAGTTGATTTAAATCACAATTTAAATCATGATTTAAATCACTAGTAAAAAGGCTTGATTTAAATCAACTCGATTTAAATCATAATTTTTAAAGAGCAACTGTCATCTCTGCTACTCCTTTGACCCACTGTTGACTCACCGATAGTCCCAGTGTTGCAGAATATACAGCCTCATGCTACATAACTAAGCTCCATTTCATGCTGAATAAACTAAATTATTTATGTATCTTAAATAGAAAACTATCTTACAATAGATTTTTACTCCAAGTTTTTTCTTAAAATAAATTCGATAAAAATCAAAAAAATCCGATTTAAGTCAAAAAAATCCGATTTAAATCAAAAAAATCTGATTTTTTTAATTTTTTTTAAAAAATCATTGATTTTTATCCACCCTGATCTCAGTCCCCTATTCAGCTCAGGTAATCATACAATATGACTATATGATAATTCTGTTCTTCCATCATTCTTCCTAGACCTCACCTCCCTTTCTGTTCTGGAAGAAGAAGAAAATCAGCAGCTGATTAAGAAAATGTAAGAACAGCTCTACCACAGCAGACCAAGGCCTACCATTTCATTTTTTACACTGCATCATCAACTGTCTCTACCATAGTCCTCACTAGCAAGAGCCACAGATATAACTCTCTCCCACGGTTATCCCCTTGCAACTGGCATGAAAGTAGGTAACTGAAGTCTCAAGTTGATCGTTTATGGTTGGATCTGACTTCATGAGTTACCTCCAAACACTTTTAAAGCTATACAATTTGAGGTGATAATGACATCTTCTAATAAAGGAATTCCACAGATTATTTGCTGTATAGTGCTTTCTTTTTCTCTTCTAAATCTTCTGCCAATTAGCTTCATTGGATGACTGCTAAATTTTAATTGAGGTCAATTAAAACTCATTTCAGATCAATGGACATATCTGGATTTTGAGAGGACTTTGTATATGATTAATATTTACCAAAACAACTTCTGTCCATATAGGAACATAGAATACTTTGCGAGTCCTGTTCAGTGATGGGTTGCCCCCAGTTCGCACCGGTTCTATAGAACCGGTAATAAAACTGGCAGGAGGCTCCGCCCACTGACCCTGATATCATGAAAATTCTGCACTTGCGGGCGGCCCCATTACAAACCGGTAGTAAAGGTAAGTAGAACCCACCCCTGGTCCAGCTTAATGATACTTAATGGGCTTAGGCCCAGGGTACTTGCAGGACCATCTCCAGCCACTCTCCCATCGTCCTGGGCGCTCTCACAGAGTGGGCCTCCTCAGGGTACCGTCGGCCAAACAATGTCGGCTGACGGCCCCCAGGAGGAGAGCGTTCTCTGTGGGAGCCCCGACCCTCTGGAATGGATTGCCCACCAAGCTCAGGACAGCCCCCGACCTTCTTTCCTTCCGTCGTGAGCTGAAGACGTGGTTCTTCCTTCAACTTAACTGATCCGTTTGGGGGTACACTGTTATAATTTTAAATTGTTTTAATAGGGTTGCTGATTTTAATTTTTATTTCATTGTGATTTGTATTGGAAATTGTCATTTTGTAAGCCGCCTTGAGTCCCCAGGGAGAAAGGCGGCATATAAATCACAATAATAAATAAAAAAATTAGAATTATAAAACACTTTCATAATAAACACAAAATTGTTCATTTCTGAATTAACTTTTGTAACATTGAACAACAATCAGTCAATGAGGTTAATTGTATTATAAAAGTGACCAGATTAATCAGTCAATGTAAATATTTTTTTTTAATCCCAGAACTAAACCAGCACTCTTGTTTTTATAGTAAAAAGCCAGAACATGCTATGCCTCATCTGAAAAGCATGCATGTTTTCCTGGACAAGTTTTATTCTTGTGCAGATGAATGCTTATTTAATTAAAATAAATATGACTAGCCAACTAAAATTAATCATCAATGAGTCCTACAAAACACAGTTCCTTGTTCTTCTGTCTAGCTTCTTTCTGCCTTGCCTGGATGATCAGATCAGATCAGAGCACTGCTTAATGTACTCCAGCTACCAAAACTACTTTTACTTGTAGAAGCTGCCCAGAGTGACACTTGATTTGGTGCATATTATTGGAAGAACTAATATCACAATGAGAGATGGAGGAGTGAGTAATCCAGATTAGTGATACATTGTCCTACCAGAATTGAGACTTTTGATGAAATTTTTTCGCTTCAGCATCATAACTGGCTGTTAGGATTAAAAATATGAACATATCTCCACACTAGAGTCTCAGACATTTGCAAGAGATCTCTCATGGTTTATGGTACTTATCTGTTTTATGCACCGCAGCTCAACTGACCCTCAGTAGTTCACAGTCATAAAATCAACACCATAAAATGCACAACAGTAACATAATAGCATATAATGTAGAAAGGGGAGAGGAAGAAATAGCCCATGGTTCTACACAACCAAGTAATTTACAAGGTTCCAATTATTTGCTGTGCAAGAGCTCTGTTCAGCAGTTCTCTATTGACAGCAAAGGCACAATTTGAACCTCAAGGAGATTGATCCATAAGGTGGGGTTCATTGCATAAAAGATGAGTCCCTTTTGAGTCCCTATATCTCACCTTACTAAGGGGACTATACTAAGCTTCTCCTTCTGGAGAATGCGCATAGAGGATGAGTTACAGCTAGAAATGGTCCTGAATGTATTCTGGCACCAAGCCAGAATTGCTTTAACGCATTGTAAGCCGCCTTGAGTCTCTGGAGAAGGGTGGCATATAAATCAAATTTAATATATATATATATATTAATATATGACCATCTTAAAAGCAGCACTTTATGAGTTGCGCTCTGAAGCCTATAGATAATCAGTGATGCCTGCATAAACAATCAATGGATAATGGTTCTCAGTATCTTGTAATACTGTCAAATCTGTCAAATATACTATTTCTGCATTCTTTCATGAGAGTTTGTATAATTTTGGCAAACTCACACACAAGAATGCTAAATTTTATGATATTTGACATTGTCACACATATTGATATATTATAAGCCAAGATTCATGAACACATAGGTGATAAACTGGGGCTAAATTCAAACATTCCAATCAAAGGAGGTGGACAAAGTTTTAGGAAACTGTTCACAGAAGATAAAATTCTTCCCACAGAGTTCCATTTATAATTTCAATTATCTCAGAGGCTACAGCTTTCTACCTTTCATACAACTGGACTTCATCAGCTTTATGAAATATGCATGTCTGGTTAGTAACAATAATGATTTCCAAGTAGATCTTTCCTTCCCAAGAAGTCTTTCTTTTAAGCATATTTCTCTCAGCTTTCTGAACGCGTCTCTCAGGTTGTTGGGTGGCTTAGAACCACTTGGTTTGTATCTGGGGCCACAGGACTTTCATATGTTATGTTATGTTATGTTATGTTATGTTATGTTATGTTATGTTAATTTTATTTATATACCACCCTTCTCCCGAAGGACTCGGGGCAGTGTACAGCCAATTTAAAAACATAAATATACAGACATCATTAAAAGTAATTAAAATCAATTAAACAGTTTCGGCCAAAATTTAAAACCCCAAGTTAAAACTCCAATTTAAAAACCACTTAAATAGACAGTCTCGCCTGTCGGAACAGTAAGGTCTTGAGGGCACAGCGAAAAACCTGGAGGTCAGAGATTGTACGTATTTCCGGGGGCAGTTCGTTCCAAAGGGCAGGAGCTTCCACTGAGACGGCTCTCCTCCTGGGCGTCGCCAGCCTGCATAATTTGGCCAACGGCACCCTGAGGAGTCCCTCTCTGTGGTCAGTGGGAGGCTATTGGTGACAGAAGTCGGTCCCGTAAATACCCTGGTCCTATGCCATTTAAAAGGTTACTGCTTCTAGCTTTACTGTTAGATTCACACAGGTTCTGGATTCTTGCTCAGAAACAACCCTCCAAAGGTAACTCCTCAAATCAACTAAGCTTAAGCATTTTGCACAATCAAAATAAATACGATTTCTGATCTAAATTTCAGTAAGTTTCATCAGAGAAGCCACTCTGTTCCATTTTTGTTTCATGTTTGCATGTGTGTCACTGTTTTAATTTATTTGCTTTTCCAATTCTAGAATTTTCTAATTCTAGAAATCGCTGGAATTTTATGACCATACTGATTCCTTCCTTCTGTTTTTCAGTGATTTGCTTGAACATACCTGTATTTACTATAAATGGATTGATGCATATTTACCTGTAGTCTTCTTGAACTAAAATTTTATCGTACTGAGTACCCTGTTCTCCCGAAAATAAGACATCCCCTGATAATAAGCCCAATCGGGCTTTTGAGCACATGCACTAAAATAAGCCTCTCCCCGAAAATATTTAAACACAGAGCTGGAAATCAGGTAAGATGGGAACAGGAGACCCATCTTTCTCCACATGTCCAAAATAATAAGACCTCCCCGAAAATAAGGCCAAGTGCTTATTTTGGGGTTAAAAAAAATATAAGACAGGGTCTTATTTGCAAGGAAACACAGTGTATTTTATTATACTCAGAACAGAGTATAGTTGCTTGAAATAAACAGCAATTTTTAAACCTGGATTTGTAATCTGATGTACTAACTAGAAATTGCTGGCGACACCCTTGCTATTTCTTAAAGGCATACAAGGTCAATTGCAATTGGCAGTTGTGTTGTTTCTTCAGATCCTATTGTCTTGGAAACCTGTTTTATATAATAAGGGTACATTAAAGTGGGTATCACAAGATAGCTGGAAGGTCCAACCCAAGAAACATTTCAATGTGAAAAGTGAGTCATGCTCAGAGTTTAAAATATCACATGTTATTGTTTGAAGGTCTGAGAAGTACCATCCAATCGTGGGCTACTTTGCTATAAATGGCCTTTTCTTTGAAACAGTTCAGCAGTTCACATATTTTCTGCCTACATTGCCAAGAACACCTTCAAAACCTTTCTCTCTATCATTATGCAGGTACTATGTGCTAGCAATATGATCTATTTTTTAAAAAAAGATACTGTAAATCTGAAATCTAATTATACCAAGCATTGACAATCTTTTCAGGCACCAATTTGTGAGTGTCCCTTCCAACATTTTTCAATTGACGGCTTTATTGATGCCTGGACTGTTTGATAGACACACATATATCTCATTCACTTCTTGTCAAATTAAAAGAAAAAAAATAACCCTGACAAATTACATCTTTCCTCCCTATGGGACAGGGAAGTCTCCCAACACAACAACTCTGTGAAGTTGGTTAAGATGAGAGAGAATATTGACCCAAAGTGACTGGCCGGTGAGCTGCCAGGGCTGAAGATGACTTTGAATCGGAATCTGCCTGATTCCGGGCCAATATCTTAATCACTGTATCACTGGTTTTCTCATAACTCAATGAGATCTATGAAGACTGAAATTAAATACCCAATTCTTAACTGCTGTAGAAATAAAGAAGATGAAGACTCAGCATACTACTAAAAATAGAAATCAAAAACATAGTAGGCAATTGTGTGTTTAACACACACACACAAACTATTACAGGAACAAAAAACTTCTTGAAGCAAAGAGTGCTCTGCTTTAATGTTTTAAATTTCAGCTTGGAGAATTTTCAATACTAATCAGTGGTTGCTGAGGACAACGGAAAACAGTAGAGAGAATCATGCAGTAGTAGAGGGTAAGGATAAAATAACTTGATTGAGCCCATATAGAAAAGGACCAATCTGTCACTTGTGGAGATAAGGACTGTAAATCTGAGTCTCCTGTCTGGCATGCAGATGATATTGACAATAAACTGGCCTCCCTTAGAGGATGTGCAAGTACTGTTCCAACATTATATGCAGGATGCATGCATTTATAAGAATTCTAAAAAACTTTGCTCTAAGAATGATAGTCAATACTATCCCAGCTGCTTCCTGAGTTTAAGAAAAGGGGATGGGGGGAATGAAAGAGAGCGAATAGGAAGAAGCATTAAGTTCTGGTTGTTTTTATTCCACTGGCCTATTGTGGCTTCATTTTAAAAGAATAGCATTTTCTGCATTTTCTTACTAAGCGCCTCAAAGACTTCAGCCAGAATCAGGGTAATGATTTCATTAATCAAAATGTCTAAATGCTTTATTGCTTTGATTTACTGGTAGTATTATTGGGTGCTTCACAAAGCCCTCCTTGACTGAAACGGTGAAGTAGGATTAGACCATGTTAACACTTGAATGCCAGATCATCAAGAAAACTCAAAGCTATAGATTAAACTGTGAAGTCAAAAAAACTTCACAGAAGAAGGCAACAGCAAGCAACTGCCAGTCTTACAAAGAAAACTACCTCTGTAGCCGCTGTCCCTAAGATAGGCTCTTTCAATTATTGCCCTCAATGGGAACGGTAGTGTCATTCCTTAGTTAGCCCACTTGATGGCACTAAGCACTACAGCCAAAAGTTCAACACCTGGAAAATCTATTACTCTGGGTCAAGCTACCCAATTTGGACCAAGTATAATGTTTCCTTTTGTTCAAAAATAGGGACAGGTAATGTTTGATGCTCCAGATGTTATGCGCACTGCAGTGCTCAACATCTTCAGCACCACTGTCTAAGCTGGTTAAGCAAAAAATTGGGAGCTGAACAACACCTGGAAGGTTACACATAATCCATACCTGCCATAGAAGAAAGAAGAACTGAGTTCTCTTTGCTATTTTAAAGTAAAGGAAGTAAAATTATGTCAGAAAAAATCTTCAGTCATTATCAGCTCAGGATTTTTTTTTGCTTCCATGTATCTCACTTTATTGATTAATAAAATATGCTATATTTTAAAAAATTAATTATTTAAATTGCTAGAACTTTCATCCTGTTTTACATAAAAAAGCAATACAAAATTAAGCAACATTTTCAACTTTACAATCCACCTACTAGTTTTTCTTTTTAATCAAATATAAAAATAGAAATAACAATAACTTTGAATAGTCCTTGCCATAGCAATCATCATTAAGGCTTTACCCAATTGTATCTTTATTTTTTATCTTCAAAATTATATTTATAATTGTCACATATAGATTACAAAGATTTGCACCATAGGTACTCCTAACAACAGCAGATTTCTGCAAAGAATGGAAGAATGATTGTGACAGTGAGAACAGCCTAAAGCTCTTTTTCTTTTGATCTGAAAGAAAAAAGATGCCAGGGACATGCACATAACATCTAAAAGCAACTCCTTAAAGCAAATACGTTTCTTTTGGATCACCTTTTAGCTATAGAAAGGAACTGCATAATTGTGGAAAAAATGCAACTGCTTTCAAGACAGTGCCAAGAGGTGCTATACAAACTTGTTTCAAAATGATGAGGAAAAAATGGGATATAAAAAGAATGATGGCTGCAAAAATGGCTCTGAAAGTTATACTGTATAATGTATATGGAGGGAAAGTGACAGTTGTGAACAATGTGGTCAAAGAGCAAGAAAGAAAGATGATTTTAAAAAGTACTAGCAATTGTCGTAATTTTGTTAACCATGTGCTTCTACCTAAAAGGAAAAAAAATCCAAGGTGATCATAATGGAAATAAGGGTGGGGTGGGAAGAATAAGAAGAATTCCATACAGACCTAACATCTTAACTACTTACGCAAACTGTGAATGGGAAAGAGAGGAAGAAAATTTTGTTGCTGGGAATCAGTTCATATTTATTTGTACCCTGGCAGACATCTGTCCCAAATCTCACCTGATATCAGACATAGCCTTGTGACCAAAAGGCTGCTTTTAAATGATGGAAAAGTTGTCTTTGCTGGCAGAGTTCTGCACCCAAAACATCCAGCAAACCCGGCCTCAATTTTTACCTGATGAATTGGGAGGAAGAAGGAAAAGCAGAAAAATGTGCAACGACTACTTTTCAGTCCCGCCATTCAATTTATAGTATTTCCTAACCACCCCCACCCCCGAGCTGTTTTGCTTTTGCTCTAAACTTTCTAATCATTGTTTCACTAAACTTCCATTAAAAAAAAAACTTATTCCCAAACTGGAAGAAAATATTTTGGCTCAAATAAATTAATAGATACACAAGCTATCACAAGAGAGCAAGCACCGTTCACACGTGCAAAAAAAACCCAGAAAGGCGGATTACCTCTCGGAGGGAATACATGAAAGTTCTGTTCCGTCCGAACGTGCGTGCGTGGGTACGTGTGTGCGTGCTCAACTTTTTTTTTTTCCTGCTTCAACATTCTCTCCCGAAGCAATTCCATTGGCTGGCTCTTCCAGCAGGAAAGGCGCAGACGTCAAAAAGCAGCGCAATGTTGCGTTGATAGGTCAAGAAAAGAAAGGGGCGGGGCGCTTCGAGCACGACCCAAAATCGTAATCCGGTGACTAGAGATAAAGAAGCGAAAGAGAAGAATAACAGTAACTTCCGGTCTTCGTTCAGATGCCTCCCGTGGGGGAATGTTTATTAATTTATTTGAAGAGTCGTTCTTTTCCTCCAAACCCCTAATCTGTTTGAGAGTCAATCGTACAGCACCGCAGATTTGAAAAATGGAAAAATCAAAAGCATTTCTCCACTTGCAAAAATTCTTGTGGCGTCCGCTTGGTGAAAAGTGGCTTAAACGTGGGCTTTCCCCCCTTATTATGTCTATGGAGATTCTCAGTCATCCAGGTCATGGTTGTCCCAAAGGTGCTTTTTCAAAAGGCAACTGGACTTTCTGGTTTTTCTTTGAAGACCTTTCGCTTCTCATCCAAAAAACGAAATGTCTTCAAAGAAAACCCAGAAAGTCCAGTTGCCTCTTGAAAAAGTACCTTTGGGTCCCCCCGTATTAGTTTCAAATTCAATATTTTGGTTCAAATACATTCTATATTTTTCTATTTAGGCAAAACAAAAAACAAAATGCACAGGTACAGTTTATGTGGTACTTGGCTCAATAGTAGTAACTGTGAGAGGGATCTTGGAGTCCTAGTAGAAACCATTTAAATATGAGCCAGCAGTGTGCAGCAGCTGCCAAAAAAGCCAACACAGTTCTAGGCTGCATAAACGGATAGAATCAAGATCATGTGAAGTATTAATACCACTTTATAATGCCTTGGTAAGGCCACACTTGGAATACTGCATTCAGTTTTGGTCGCCACGATGTAAAAAAGATGTGGAGACTAGAAAGAGTGCAGAGAAGAGCAACAAAGATGATTAGGGGACTGGAGTCTAAAACATATGAAGAACAGCTGCAGGAACTGGGTATGTCTAGTTTAATGAAGAGAAGGACTAGGGGAGACATGATAGCGTTCCAATATCTCAAGGGTTGCCACAAAGAAGAGGGAGTCAAGCTATTCTCCAAAGCATCTGAGGACAGGACAAGAAGCAATGGGTGGAAACTAATCAAGGAGAGAAGCAATTTAGAACTAAGGAGAAATTTCCTGACAGTTAGAACAATTAATCAGTGGAACAGCTTGCCTCCAGAAGTTGAAACTTTAAAGAAGATACTGGATAACCATTTGTCTGAAGTGTTGTAGAGTTTCCTGCCTAAGCAGGGGGTTGGACTAAAAGACCTCCAATGTCACTTCCAACTCTGTTGTTCTGTTAAATAGAGGAGACTGGGGGCCATGCTATGCATGGTCTCATTTAGGGGGCAGAGGGAGGGGAGAGAGGGGAAGAATAAAGTGTTTTATGGAATTCTTCCAATCCTCTTCCATGATGAACAGGTAATTAGCCTCAAGAATAGAACAGTGACCTTATTCCTTGTATTTTTTTTTTAAAAAAAAGCTGCTCCCAGTTTTGATTTTCTTGTTTTTATTCTAACTGGATTTTTGTAATAGCTTTTCTGTTTAATTAGCTGGCTTGGGGAGTTGCTCAATCTATGAACACTTGTTCTGTCCTAGCAGAAATGCACTTCTGGTCAAACGATAATTTCCAAGAGATACCAGCAGGTTCTTACTTCTCTATTGCTGTTGGGCAATATTGATGCCTCTTTGTTGAGATTATATACTTGACATTCACTCTTGGTGTTCTTCACTAACCGCACTCCCACTATGATGAGGTAGCAAAGCAGATCATGTGAAGATATGTATGCTTACTCCTAAATAAGTCCCACAGTTCAGTAAGGCTTAGTCTGCAATTACCAGGCATAAGATGGAATCTCCGAAACAGGTTTTATTATAGATGCAGATGACTAATTTGTTCATTTTAGGTTACTAAATAATTAGGTAGGGCTCATGCATGTAAATGTATTTTATAATGAGTATCACCGCAACTTAAATTCATGTACTGCAGACTGCAAGATCAGTAGATAACATATGCTTCTATTTGCTTTGCCACTTACGCCTTAATTATCGGTAAGAATATTGTTGCTTGCTTTTAATTCTTTTCAGGACATTGGTCCCCATCTTTTGCTCAGCCTCCTGAGGCAATGACCTCTCCTGAAACATCCAGTAATTTGGTAAGAGAGACACAGCTATTCTCTGGGGATTGTCCATGCAAATTAAAATTTCATTTTGTAAAAAAGGAGGAATAAATCCAGTTCTCATCCACTTAAGAAAAAGAAACCAGTATTACAGGTATGCTTCACATTAGTTTTCTCAAATGGCAAGTTACTGCAGGCTAATTAGAATAGACTTTAGCTCAACATCCTCCTATCTGTTGAGATGATGCAAGTTGGCAATATGCCAAAAAGTGAAGCAAAGGCTCAGCATGTGGGTGGTGGAGAGACTTGTGAAATGAGAGCAATTCCCAACATGCCTTTAAAAAATCCCGTCTCTGGCTATGCTTGCCAGATGCAAGGTGAGTATAAAAGAAGTATGAAACTAATGTTGAGCATCTGATCCTGCCATGCCATGCAATCTAATATTTCATTTTTAATGTGGTTTCCAGGGTCCTTTTATGTCATGCTACAATAGCATGTTTTTTTGAAGAGAACAATGGCAAGAGAACAGATTTTTGAAAAGAGCTTGCATAGAGTCAATGCGAGTAATCTTGAGGAATGTGTAAAGTAAAGGTTTCCTCTATCCGGCCATCTCCAACTCTAGGGGCCATTGGTCATCTCTGTTTCTTGACCGAGGGAGCCAGCGTTGTCTGAAGATAATTTTGTGGTCGTGTGGCCAGAGTATGCCAAGGTGCACAGAATGCTGTTACCTTCTTACCAAGGTGGTAGCTATTTATATCTCCTAGCATTTGCATCCTTTGGAACTGTTAAGTGGGCAGGAGTTGGGCAAGTAATGGGAATTCACTTCTTCGTGCAAGCGCTCCGGTCACAAACCCCAGCTGTCAACTTTCCAGTTAACAAATTCAGCTTCTTTAAGTGCTGAGACATTGCGTCCCCTGATGAGTGGATCCGCTGTCCTGACCCTTTACCAGAATCCTCCTGACACCATGAGTTATGTCCTTATGTAGCTAATCACTCTGCAAGCTAGTACTCCTCTATCATCATTTACTACCCCATAATGGAGAACAAAGTATATATTGCTGGACAGACTAAATTTGTTCACTCAAAATAAGCAAAGGTCCTGTATCTAGTAAATGAAATAGATGACTAAATTGTGCGCTCTTGAATGTACCTGTCATCCCTATTTTCATGGGCAGAAAATCCTAAAAGCAATTGTGGCATGAGAAGCAGATTTGTAAATTCATCAACAAAGGTATAAATACTAAGGGAGACATCATGGTAGCCTTTAAACATCTAGTAGATTGTTATGCATCTTTTCTGGGTCTTTAAGAGTTGTGTTACAGATTCTGCACTAAACAAGATGCTAGAATAAATCTTTTATGATGGTACTCTGTGGTTGGAAGATGAAGCAAATGGGACCTGGTTTAATCCAGGCAAATTGCAATGCTAATCTGGAACTGGGATTGTGATGGGTAACAAACCAGAGGTGGGTTTCAGCAGGTTCTGACCAGTTCTGGAGAACCGGTAGCAGAAATTTTGAGTAGTGTGGAGAACTGGCAAATGCCACCTCTGACTGGCCCTACCCCCATCTATTCTCTGCCTCCCGAGTCCCAACTGATCAGGAGAAAATGGGGATTTTGCAGTAACCTTCTCCTGGAGTGGGGAGAGAATGGAGATTTTACAGTATCCTTCCCCTGCCACACCCACCAAGCCATGCCTGCCACGCCATGCTACACCCACAAGCCATGCCCACAGAACCAGTAGTAAAAAAATTTGAAACCCACCACTGGAGTAAGCTATTAACCCCCACTGTCCCCTTCCACTGGCTGGGGTTGTTTAAATAGAGACTAGATGGCTGTGTGCTGGGATTACTGTAGTAGTGGATCCCTGCATAGAGCAAGTAGGACTACTTGTTTTTCCAAGTGAAGGCCAACCTATCAGGCAGATGAAAGACCTCTCCTGTGTCATTCCCAACTACAGAAAGCTAGGAGTGAATTGTGTTCCATATTTTTTATCATTGTAAATTAATACAATTGAGTGTTAATTTCAATGAAAAAGATAATATATAAATCAAGGAAATTCTAATTGGCATATGCTATATCTACCTGAATTCATGTTCACCCAGGAAAGATATATCTACTTGTACTCATTCACCTCACCAATATTTAACCAATTATCAGTGACCTTGTTGATATTGATCAGATGAAAACCTTAACATTTTTCATGTTTTAAATGCTATCTACTTTTATGAAGTCACCATTATTGTTATCTGTTAGTATTGTTCAGGGTACTGTTAGGTATAGTAGCATTTATTAAATTATTTTCATATAGTAAAAATTTGGGAGTCAACCAACAATTTGAAACTTAAAATCTGACTCCTGGATGATAGCAAAAATCAAAACCTATTCATACTGACTATCAAAAATGATTGGGCATACCTCATAAATTTTATTGGGCTTAACCTGAATTTTTTTTCACACTCATAAAATGTTTGAGGGATCTTTTAGACAACAGATTAAAGAGCTTTGTCACTTGCCTGAATCGAAAGCTTCCTTGAGCTTTTGGAACAGAAGTATTGTAGCACTCCTAAATCTGGACAGATTACTGTAATCCTTATCAGTGAGATTAATCAGAGAAAATAAACTGGTAATACACATGCTGCCATACTTCCCTTTTTATCTTTATAAACTTTCCCATAAATGGATGCCAAGTAAAATTGAGATAATAGTTCCCCATGATGACAAAGAAAGTTGCAAAATTCTTATTATTGTCTTATATCTGGT